ATGCTCCTTTCTTGAGGTAACAGTTTTATTTGTGTATTTATTTTATGAAATGACGTTGCCTTTATATTACTGCATGGAGAAAATGATCATGGACGATCTAATGCTGCAGGTGTACAATGAGAAAATTGGGGATCTACTTGATCCGACACATAGAAATCTAGAGGTGATTTTCCAGACAAAAAAATCAGCAGTTTTCCTTTTGATAGCGCTTAAGTGAGTTTCATGTATATTTATGGTTAACTTGGTATGTTTGAGAACTGTTCCAGATAAAGAATGATGAAAAAATTGGATTTTATGTTGAGAATTTGTCCGAAGAGTATGTGACCAGCTATGAGGATGTCACCCAAATTTTGATCAAGGTATCTAACACGACGGTTTGAAAGTTAAATATTTTTAGTTTGCTTTTACTGGGCTTGCATTGGTTTAACTTGGTGTTTGTGTTATGTGTCATTTCAATGGATGCTTCCAGCAATTATTTTAGGTACTTTGCAGGATATCTTTTAAGTTACTTTTATGCTGCAGGGACTTTCAAGTAGAAAGGTTGGAGCTACAAGTATAAATTCAAAGAGCTCAAGATCCCATATTATATTTACATGTATAATCGAGTCCTGGTGCAAGGTAATATTTGCAAATGGCTTAGTTACAAGTACTTTTAAATATTATCTAATTTTATGTGGTGGTAACATTCTTCCAAAACACTTCTTTTGCAGTTTTCTTCTAGTCTACGATTCATGGTATTTAAGATACTAAGCAAAACTTTTGTGGACATTTGATTAATATATTTTTTGCTTTCATAGAAGAGCAACAAACCTATTAGAATGTAGTGTGGCCTTTGTATTGAAAGCTTATAGGCTCGAATGAGTAACCTTTTATTCTGAAAATCTCATTCATTTTAATATGATCAGTTTGACATCTAGTTTAAATTTTGAAACCTGTACTTCATTCATTTTCTTGCAATACAATGCCTCAGGAATCCACATCAAAGTGCTTTGGTAGTTCTAAGACTAGTAGAATCAGCTTGATAGACCTCGCCGGATTTGACAGGATTGTGCTTGATGGTGCTACTAAAGAGCATGTGAAAGAAGGAAAATACATAAAGAAGTCCATGTCAAAACTTGGGTATGTACAATGAATAACCGAATGCTTCGTTGGTTCTGGTAATCTTCGGCTGTTATGGTTTTCTGATGCTGATCTTTTTTCCTTTCACCTTTTGCACATAATGTTTCATTATATTATATTATCCCTAAACCTGTTAACTAAAATTAATTGAAATCTATATTATCTGTCTTGTTTATGTTGAAAGAAACTAGTACCCAAGTATGAAACTTTCTGGAAGTGTTTTTGGTGTTAAAAATAGAATTTTGTAGTGAATGATTAAATAACAAGCATATTGATGCTATAGAAGTCAAGGATATTTTTCAAAAGTACTCTTAATAACCTTTGACGTATATTTTATGCTAAAATTATCTTAAATCTTATCCTGCAGATACTAGTTTATAACCAATTTTGGTAATTTTTCCTGATATATCTGATTGGTGCAGGCACTTGGTAAATATTGCTGGAGATAGACATAATGGAAAATCTGAAGACATTCCATTTAGAAGTTCCTGTCTAACACATCTGCTGAGAGAATCATTTGGCGGCAATGCTAAACTCTCCATTATCTGTTCCATTGCTCCTGATAACAAGTATTTCAAACCATAAGATTTTCCTTTTCCTAAACAAATAAAATAATAAATGGTACCATGGTCTTGACACCCATGCTCTTTGAGTAGATAGTGATTCTGGTGGTTATGATCTTTTTGGATCTATATTTTCACTTAACTCATGAGCATAGTCAACTATATATAGGTTCTCGTTGTTTCCCTTTCTTATAGTTTCTCCCTCTATCTCTCTTTTGTTTTATTTATATCTAGGTGTAATGGTGAAACCTTAAGGACACTCAGATTTGCACAGAGGGCAAAGCTCATGAAGAATGAGCCTATAGTTAATGAGATAGCAGAGGATGCTGTTAATGATTTAAGCGATCAGATTCGACAGCTGAAGGTGATCTACCTTTCATGTGTTCCTGACTTGTTTTCAGTGGAGATATCATTTAGTTTAATCCATTCATTGGTCCTTGATTTGATGCAGGAGGAACTTATAAGAACCAAGTTCAGTTCGTGCAACTCATTTAGGAGCAACATTGGACTTTTCAAAGGAAGAAGTGCACGTGAAAGCTTGAATCAGTTAAGATTGAGCTTGAACCGTTCATTGATTTTACCTCAAGTAGACAAAGGTTCTAAAGAAGAAATATGCATCAATGAGGAAGATGTGAAAGAACTAGGACTTCAGATTGATAATTTAAATAGTTCTGAGAACGGAGAATGCTCCCAATTATACTCTGCAGAAGGTAGTGAGGCAGACTTGATGTGTGAACATTATTTAAGCTGTTCAGAAGAGAGTGAAAATGAAGAAATAAATTCAAGAGTAACTCAAACAGAATTGCTACATTCAAATAATACTGAACCTGATAACCTTTCCAAGAAATCAATGGCCATCAATTCTCCTTCGAGGAGGAGCCTATCAATCAGTGGAAGCCATCGGCTCACAGTCCTGGAAGATCCTTTGTTATCTGAGAGTCCAAAAATAAGCAATTCCCAAAGGAGAAGCACAGTTTTCTCGTCAAGTATTCTTCCCAATCAGGATGATATGATAGAATCTTCCAGTAATCTGGACGTGTTACAGCATTCGCACCAACAATGTGATCAGAATAATTCCTCTTTAAGGTCAAGTCGAATGTTTCCAGGAACTACAGATTCTTTGGCTGCTAGTCTGCACAGAGGCTTACAGATAATTGATTGTCAGCAGAAGAACTCGGCATCAGCTAGATCATCTGTTTCGTTCTCTTTTAAACACTTGGCACTCAATTCAGGTCCATCAATCAATAAGGCAGATGTTTCCGTTCAAACCTTGCCAGAAGATGGACAATTTTCTGATGCACCATCTGCTTCCTTTGTGTGTATGAAATGCAAGAGTGCTGCTGCTAAGGATGTTGAGGATGGCTTGGGAAAATTATTGATACCAGTGGATAAGTCAGAAAGTTTTAATGGATTGGCAACCAAGGTTTGTCAGAAATTGCTTGTGATGCAAATCTAGGTTATATCATAATTGCTAAAACTCATTTTTGTCCTTTTTAACAGGATACAGAGAATGACCTAGCTCTGGCCTTGGAGAGAGAGAGGGAGCTTGATAGCATTTGTAAGAAGCAAGCAGCTAAAATTGAGCATCTAAACCAATTGGTAACAGATTCTTTTCCTGTTGTAAACTGTGTGACATGCTCATTCAAGATACCACAATAATTTTGATACCCTGATTTACTGCTGCAGTTAGAGCAATGCAAATGCAAGAATGATAAGAACAGTGGACGTTGCAGTTCTTCTAGTCTCAGTGACCTGAAGGACCAACTGCCACAAATCTACGAGCATGAAAATGAGAAATGCCACTCGCTAAATAATCATGATAAGGTTAGTAACTGTACTTGCTGAATCCTCAGTCATCAATGTCGATGGTTCATGTCCTTATGGATCTGTGGTTATTGTTCCCAGCTTCTGGAATGGAATAATGATGAAAATCATGAGCCAGAGTTTATAAAGGAGAAGTGTGAAATAAAAGACGTCCACGAGGACTTAGATTCTTGCATGAAGAAGTCTTTTGATGTGAAAGAGAGGGAAGCATTTCTCAAAGAAATTGAAATTCTTCGGAGCCAGTTGAAGTCATGCACCGGAACACCAGCAAACAAATCAACTGAGAGGCTTAGATCCTCTTTGTTGTTGCAATCTATCCAGTTGAGAAGTAGTAGCACATATGCTCGAGGTAATAATGAGGAAGAATTCGAGAAGGAAAGAGAAAGGTGGATGGAAATGGAAAGTGATTGGATTTCATTGACTGATGAGTTGAGAATTGATCTTGAGTCCATCCGTCAAAGAGCAGAAAAAGCAGAGATGGAATTGAGATTAGAGAAGAAGTGCACAGAGGAATTGGATGATGTACTAAAAAGATCTGTTCTTGGGCATGCTAGAATGGTAGAACATTATGCTGAACTGCAGGAGAAGTATGACGACTTGGTTGGAAAGCATCGAGCAATTATGGAAGGGATAGCAGACGTGAAAAGGGCAGCTAAAAAAGCGGGAGCAAAAGGTCATGGCTCTCGTTTCGCCAAGTCCCTTGCTGCTGAGCTTTCCACTTTGAGGGTGGAAAGAGAGAGGGAAAGGGAATTACTGAAGAAGGAGAATCAAAGTCTTAAAATTCAGCTTAAAGACACAGCAGAAGCTGTACATGCTGCAGGTGAACTTCTTGTTAGGTTGAGAGAAGCTGAGGAAGCAGCTTCAGTTGCCGAGGTAAGAATTAATTTTAATCACGTTATCCTATTGAACACGTGCTGAGATACGTGAGGTTGTAATCTTAGAGCGTGCTGAGCTAGTTCCTTGACAGTTTTAAGATATCATAGTGCCATAACATGTTTCCTGATTATCCCTTTTACATCTGTGCAGGAGAAGAATACAACGACAATTGAAGAAAATGAAAAGTTAAAGAAACAGATAGAGAAACTAAAGAGAGAGCATAAGATGGAGATGATCACTATGAAACAGTACCTGGCAGAGAGCAGATTGCCAGAGGCTGCATTGCGCCAGTTCTACCGGGAAGACTCCGATATAATGCACCATGATACAGCAACACTCCAGCATGATGATGATCAGGCTTGGAGGGCTGAATTTGGTGCAATATATCAAGAACACTACTGAGAAACGAAGCTCGTGGCGTCGCATTCGCACTGTACCCTACTTGGGTCCTTGCAATGAGATAACTGATGGGACCTCTCTGCATTTATATTTTTCTTTTCTCGCGATGCTCAGCAATACTTTATTTATTTATTTATTTTTTCGAGTTTATTGATACCCTTATTTTTTTGAGTGAGAGTCAGAATCTCTGTCTTTTGATCCTTTCAACAAGAAACACTGATGTTTGATTTCTTCTTGATTGTTGCATTTATATCAATCCATTCAAGTCTATCATTTCGACCTTCAAATATGAAGTACATATACATGCAGAGAGAAAGATGATTGATTTTAACAACACGACGTGTTTGATTAATCCAATCTACATGTACACTAGCTAAAAATCTAAATCTGAAAATCATGACTTTTCAAATTTTGTCTTTCAATAAAATTGTAAAAATAATTAGCAAAATATACACTTTATTATGCAATGTTTTTATAAAAATTCAAGATCCTTATTAATACACCATTAGGCTCACCACCACATTCAAGAATTCTCAAGTTCGCTGATACAACACAAGCAGAAAGAATCCATACACATAAATTTCAAGATGGCCGATGGAAGATCATCATTGAGGCCACGGTAGTGCCGCTGAGACTTTCAAATTCTCTTGATTGTGTTATGTTATTTCAGATTGAATCTTTGATAGAGGCCATGACCAACAGAAGCCCCAACCGCGTAAACAAAATCGTCCATAGAGTGTTTAGCAGTAGCCAAGTGACAAATGCGTTACTTAGGAGGGACAAAAAGTTCTCAACAAAAGTGCTTGTTTTTGCCTCAACGATATGGATTATAATTGACAAGCACCGTGTGCGTGCCTCCATCTGTGATAGTTTGATGCTCACTCTAACAATATTATTTGTGTGGTCAAGAGATGCCAAATTTCTCAATGCAGTCATTATCCCAGAAGAGCCTGTATTGAAGTTGACATTTGCATTGAGGAACAATATCAATAGTGCATTTGCTACTTTGCATTACACTGCATCAGGAAAGGATGTGAAGAAGTTTTTCTTTTTGACATTTGGCCTGTTGTTGTCATCAAAATTGTGTAGTTGCTGTGATTTTTTTACACTGTTATATTTACCCACACTTCTGCTCCTCTATGCCTTTTGCTTGCATGAATGTGAGGATCTGGTAACCTCTAACGTGGTGAAGAACAAGAATTACCGTCAAATTTGGTATGTAAAAATCGGCTCTAAAAGTCGAATCCTAGTAGGGTGTCTGATTTCCTTTTGTGGGCATCCTTTTTTTCCAGGCCGCTTTGTTATATAGAAGGTACTACCTTATATGTTTCATTTCTAGCTGTTTTTAATGAACTGTCAATGGAATTTTGGAGGAAAATGTCTCTTCTACGACAATTCATTAAGGTTTTGTTCATTGCCAATACATTACATCCCATATAGCATCTCGAACAAACAATTGAAGGGTACAAATGCCACGAGAAAATAATCAAGGGAAAAGAAGTCAGTGTCAAACTACAACTGCAACGTCTAATTAGTGACAGTTTTGTAGTCATTTCTTAACCTAGATACGCTGTAATATTCTTCAAGATAGGCCAAAGCTTCCAAGTTATTGTCACAAACTTTCCACAATGACGATAACTCACCCTTGGAAAGAGTACCCGAGACCTCACAATCATCAAGAAAATCGAGCAACTTTGAATAAAAAGAGTTGTAGTTCATCAAAAGAAAGGGAACATGAAGCTTAGATCCGATTCTTTCAAGCTGAATCAATGCGAGAATTTCAAACGCTTCATCTAAAGTGCCAATCCCACCAGGAAGGGCAACAACAGCCGTCCGATCAGAGTCACTAGCTCTAACAGCAGCATCCACTAACCCGTGCTTCCTTGCAGAAAAGAATCTGCATGTAGTTTGGAGCAGTTCACAAACGCCCACTATCTTAAACCGAGTAGATAAACACTTAAGAGACAGCAATTAACTTACCTGCATGTAAGATAGCAGTCTAATGGTAAGTAGGGATGAAATTTTCTAGCCGTCCATTCTCCAGCTTCTTTAGCGATTTTAAATCCGCCAACAGGCTTCCCTGCTTGCAGAGCACCTTTAGTTGCAGCGTCCATGAGCCCGGGTCCAGCCCCCGACCATGAAGTACAATCCAAGAGTCTTGAAATCTGCCAATTAAAATAGCATTTGGAGAGCCTGAATCAAGCAATTCTTATATCTTCATGCATCAGAAAAGGAATCTGCAATTTACTTAGGTTTGTATTCAAACTCAGTTGATAAATAATAACAATTAATGAAGTGATATCACAAGCATCATTTTCTTTGCATAGGATGATAAACTTACCTCCTTCCCCAACTCGAATGCCTGTGCATAATGTGGATGGTTAGGTCCGAACCTTGAAGAACCCAAATACACAACACCTCTACCAAGCCTTTGTATGAGTTTATAGCATTGCTCAATTTCCTCCTTCACCTATTTTTCGAAAAACAAACGTTAAGTAGAGTAGTAGCCAGCGCACATTTGGCTACCAAAATAAAATGAACACGTCTAGATGCAACTGTTAGGAAAAGTGACCGGACTAGTATGATAATAAGCCCGGATGAAGAGGTTGATTCAAGTTCAAATGTAACAAGGTAATTAGATAGGATACATAAATCCTAGTGGTTAAATTTTGAAGAGGACCCTCATATGATCAGAGTCGAAAAAGGATGATTTATATAGCTGCCTCGCAACACCATTGAGTTAAATTCACACGACTCAACATGTTCATTTCTAGCAAAACTCAATTATGTTGGCCGCTAATGATGTATAATAAAACAATACATATAAAGAAACAAGATATGTTACCATTCGACAGCTTCATAGTTCATACACTAAAATTATGGACATAACGAATTACTAATTAATAAATCGACGGTTGAATGGAAGCAGAACATTTTCTTTCTAGTATTAAAACTTTTGATCCACCTTATCTAAAAGCTTAACGTGTACGGAGAATACAAACTTCCTAGCAAGGTTTATTTTGAAAGGTCTGAGAGCTGCATAATTCTCCTAAACACATGCCAACCAAACTTGAACTATCTATTAGAGATGGGATATAATACGGTAAACGAAAAATACTGATAAATCTGTCACCAAAACATACCTCAGCTGGGCTTGTTCTCTCTTGAAAATCAATGCCCTTTAATTTGCAGCAAAATGATTTTCTCGATTGAGCCCTGGTGAAGAGTGTCGATAATTTGAAATTTCCATGAAAAGACGCAAACTTTTTTCCTGTCCTTTGACTATGATCTTGAATGAGATAACAATGGCCAAATGAATTAGAACTAGCAATAGAAAACCCCATTTTCAGAACTTCCAAGAATAGGAGAGAGACTTTAAAGAGTTTTCTGTTTGTATCAAATAATAGAAACGGGCGTTTGCGTTTGGGGCTTTCTGCAATCAACAGCTTTATGTGCTACAACTCAAAATCCTACAGTTTGTTCTGTGTAACTTTTTGGTGGCGAAAATCGGAATTGGGTTCTTGTTTGCTTTGTTCCATGGCTGGAACAACGCTATAAAACGTGATTCGATTCTTTCCAAGCTCAAGAGCTCCTAGGAAAAGGATTAAAATATTTTTGTCATCAAACTTATAAATTGCTATGTTTTGGTCACCAAACTTTTTTATTCTAGATTAGTCATTAAACTTTTGTTTATTTAGGGTTTGTTTAAGCTCCATTGTTATCATTATTATTTGTTTGAAAAAATAGATTTTATAACAGTGTTTTTTTTTGGAGAATGTATGACTAATTTTTTTTATTAATTTACTCGTAAAATAATCTTGTTAGAAGAATGAGTGATTGAAAATTAATTGAAGAAAAGTGACTTAAAAAAAAAAAATGAAACTAAAGCACGAAATTAAAATAGGGACTACTAATTTCGTCGAAATTGAATTGAAGATGGCAAAATTCTCAATCATCACCTTACCTTGTAGGGGGAATCGAGGCAAGAACAAATGAAAGATAACGATATTTAAAAAATAAATTAATATCTAAATGGGTCAAAATTAATCCTACCTTCCAAAAATCCCAAGCAAGTTTTGAACAGAGGTGGACCTAGCCGTTGCCATCCAGAAATTATCATCCAAATTCTTAAAAAGTCTTATTTTCTTAAAAAATTGTTATTTATAAATACATAACTACTTAACTTAAAACCTAAAGCATTGACACAACTCATAATCTCATCATCATTTTCGTCTTAATACTTAAGAATTTTATTATTTTAAAAGGTAGAATGCCTCAACTCAAATAAATATGGAAGTACCATGACTAATTTAAAATTGGTGACAAGAATGGAACAATGTGTAAATCAGTGACTAATAATGTTTTAAACAGGAGCAATGTTTAATAGGCACCAATCTAGATGGTAAACTTGCCCCTGTTTCATTTAGTTAAATAGCCTATTTTTCATAAATTTTGATAAAAGTTAATAAAATATGTGATTGAAAATAAATATAAAAATAAAATAAAATTTAGAAAATGAGGACCAGATATTGACTTAATTGTCCAAGGAAAAAGTCAAAATTCCAACAATGTACAAATCTTGGGTCTGTATGTAATTTATGATAATTATCGGGGGTCTCATACAATAATTTTTTAGGTGTTTGCTTTAAAGACATGAAATGACATCTTCAAATGACTGCGAACAGCGTTGTCTGGGGTCTGGTTTAAAATACGAGGGCATTAAAGTAATTAACTCAACTAGGGTTTTTTTAACTGGACTATTCACAAATATTTCTGTTGAGCGGCTTTCAGTTGTACCGCCGTTTCTCCCTCTGCAATCAATAGAGGACTCACCGGAACCTTAGTAACCACCGCCTGCAATCATGGGTAACAGATCTATTTCCCCTCCAATGTCTTTTAATGTGTTATGTACTTATTTTGTATAGAATTGACGGTAATGATGTTTGTATACAGGTATTTCACGGGACTCGATGCACAAGAGAAGAGCCACTGGAGGCAAGAAGAAGTCTTGGAGAAAGAAGAGAAAGTAATTTTCACTTGGTTAATTTTAAATATTGTCTTTTCTGACTGGTGATTCTAATTGATTGGTTGCTATGTCTAGGATGGCATTTTGTGGGTGTGTGTGTGTGTGTTTGTGTCTCCTTGAATTATTTCGATTCTGCATGTCCCCCCTGTTGGATTATCTAAATGCAATTCACAATGTGTTTTATTGAAGATCACACCAATAATGAAATGAATTCTTCCCCCTTCTATTCCCAGCTACTAATTAACTTATTCAACCATTAATCAGTTTATATATATTTAACTTGTGTGATAGAATGATAACTTTGAGAGTAGGTAGATTTTAAAACATAGATCTGAATTCTGATTGATGTATCTTATTATTCCATTATGCCATATGTCTGTGATTGTTATTTGATTAACTTACTCTTTGTCTATTTCAAGGTATGAGCTTGGAAGACAACCAGCAAATACTAAGTTGTCAAGTAACAAAACAGTAAGAAGGGTGAGGGTTCGTGGAGGTAATGTGAAGTGGCGTGCCTTGAGGTTGGACACTGGAAATTACTCTTGGGGTAGTGAAGCTGTGACCAGGAAGACTCGTATACTTGATGTGGTTTATAATGCATCAAACAATGAGTTGGTTAGGACCCAGACTTTGGTGAAGAGTGCAATTGTTCAAGTGGATGCTGCACCATTCAAGCAGTGGTATCTTCAGCATTATGGTGTTGACATTGGTCGCAAGAAGAAGACAGCTGCCAAGAAAGAAGAAGTAATGAACTATCTTTCTTTTCCATCTCTTTAGCAGATATTTTACCCAGTACTTTTGGTTAGACTACCAAAGTTGGCTGTATTTTTTTGTCGCTCAGACTGCATTTTACTCCAGTTAGGATTATATAATTAGGTATATACTAGAAGGCTAGAAGCTGAACTGATTTTTGATGGAATAGCGATGCATTTGGACCATGAATAAAGCTATATGATATATTTGGAGGCATCGTGGAGGATAGTTCTAAAGACCAGGGGATAATTGTGAAAAACAGGTCAACTAGAATTACCAATATACCTGTTCTGTATTACTTATTTAACTCTATTTGTATCCATGGTTATTGTTTGATTATTAAAATGCCAGTCATATCTAAGTTGGAGTTTCCTAGTGTAATTGGGGCAAAATAAGAATTTGGATGATCCAGTCTGGAAGGTGTATGAAATGTCTTGACATGATTTAGAGGAGAGAGATGTGAATTGTGTGCACATGTTTTGTATCATATGCTTTAGTTTGAAACAAAGTCTAATGACAAATACCTTTCAGAGCTTTTGATAAGTTATAATTAATGGGGATTTAATTAGGATACTGATGCTGCTGCTACTGAAGAGACGAAGAAGAGCAACCATGTCCTGAGAAAAATTGAAAAGCGTCAACAGGATCGCAAGCTTGACCCCCATGTTGAGGAGCAATTTGGTAGTGGCCGTTTACTAGCTTCAATCTCTTCACGTCCTGGACAGTGTGGGCGTGCTGATGGGTATGTTTTGTCATCTTCTTTTTCTCTCTTGGCTAGTGAAATATCAAAAGATCAAACGTCTCTTTTCTTATGAGTTTCACCATAGATGCCAAATTAACTGCGGTGAATTGAATTTCCATTTTGCTAGCTTGCTTCTAAAAAATTTAACGTCTGAGGCAATTTAATTAAGAAATAAAAGGTGTCAAAATTCTGTGCTCAAATTTGTAGCTTCGGAAGTTTGTTAATATTTTTTCCCTTGATTGTTTCTCTAATGGGGATGTTTAATTAGCGAAAATATATGTTGTGTTGTGTTCGTTTAACAGCCAGAATTTTATTTCATATTGAGTTTTATCTGGTAAATACTTATTTTTGGTCACTTATTTGTTGGCTGCATTGCATGCATAGAATTTTATTTATCAGTCCTTTTTTCCTGATGTGGTATGAAATTGATTTTGTAGATATATTTTGGAGGGCAAAGAATTGGAGTTTTACATGAAGAAACTCCAGAAGAAGAAGGGAAAGGGTACCAGTGGTGCTGCCTAATCTCAAATTTTTGCCACCAGAAATGTCATCTTATTATACCATTCACTTTTTCCATTCCAAATTTCTCTAGTTTTCGAGAATTAGACTGAACTTTTCAATTGTCATGCTAAATCAATTTTTGTGAAGTGGTGTGTTAAATCTTTTCTTTTGGGAATTGCATTCTTCTTATTTCTCATTAATTTGCAGATCGATTTTATTTGTTTCCTTTTACATGTAAGCCTCCAATGGTAGCTCTCTAAGAATCAAAGACATGGCTGAAGCCAAAAACCAAAATATCTCTTGCCCAGTTTCTAAGTAGTCTGACCAATGTGATTCAATTTTTCATGTACTAGTAACTGTAGGCAAGAAACTGGTTGAGCATATTTTAAGTGGTGGATGGAGCAAAAATCCATTCCTTCCCATATTTCTTAATTGCTCTTTTACTAATTCACTTCCAAAAAAAAAAAAAAAAAAAAAGGGGTTAAACCCTAACCTTAAGGGTCTCCAACCACCCCTGTTCTGGAGTATCGTGAGGGAGGTAAATCGCAGGTTATGCTTCCAAGGGTACAGTGTGGAAGGTTGCTTGTACACTTGCACTTACTCAAGAGCCAAATCCATATTTCAGGATTTGAACCCTTGACGCAGCAGCCTCAAGCAAAGTTGGATTTTTTCACTCTCTCCTTTTACCACTTGAAGATGTGCCCTGAGGGCTACTAATTCACTTCAAGCTTTGATTTGAGCTTGTTGAGGAGCAACATTCACATGTTTAAGAAATATGGGAATGACTAGTCACTTGTAATAAAGGTACGAGTTAAAATTTTGTTATTTGTACACCTTGGTATTAGCTATGCCAAATAAAAAAATTGCGAGCTCCCTTATCGTAAGGGGGTTGTACACCATTTACACACATCACTTCTCTACGAGCTAACTAGAAGAAAATGCCTTTCCTAGCCGCTCTTTTGGACTGCCCTTGTTACATTGCTTCCTACCTAGGCGATTGTTTATAGCATCATGCAAACAAATAATCAAGTTTCGAGGGTTCCAACTTAAAAACTTAGGCCATGTTTGAGGTCAATTAATTTGAGGAAATATATCATGGAATAGTGACTGATGATGACGAATGTCTGGTTAAAAAAGAAAGAAAAAGTTTTTGATTTGCGTGTAATATTATTTTAATAAAGAATGTGTATTTGAAAATGAGTACTCTAGAAAAATAATGGGAAAGAAAATAAATTTAAGGATGACAAATAGGAGCTTAACAGAAGTACCATTTTAAATCCACTAGATCAATAACTATGCAAGCAAAAGGGATTTCTTAACCTAGAACTGGCACCCGAAGTCTAGAGACAATAACCATGCAAGCAAAAGGGATCGTCAATCTTTAGAGATGGACATTTTTCAATTATTTATAATCATTTCTGAAAAAAATTACTTTAGCTTAACTAGGTTGACTAATTGAAACGAACTTCCAACTAGCATGCTATATGACAAATGAGAAGAATGTTTGGTATGCTATATTGAATAAAATTAAGACAAAGTTTAGCCATCTCATCGCACAACTCGTAGAAAGTAGAAACTCCTATCCAATTACATGCATCAATTTTATTATGTAATCAAGATATAAAGGTCACAAAGAGTAACTGCTACATTTTGCACAACAAATCAATGGCTTATCCTTCTGAAAGAGCATGAAAAAGTAGCTGACAATCACTTTGATTGAAAAATTCAATAAAAAGTAACCTATTCTGCTCTAGGCTTAGTAGAAAGTTCTCCAGAGCGGGTATTTGGTGGTGTTGGTTGAAGCTCCTCAATTTCTTTCACGACTAGTGCTTTGTCAGCTTCAAATGTTTCATCCTCTGCAAATTAATTATAGGTATAGACTTATATAAGTTTCATCTATAATGATTATACAAAATGTGATTATAAGTCTCAATAATTTACCTTTTTCCAAGCAAAAGCCATCAAAGAAACGGAGAAGCTTGCTTTTGTTAGCGACTAATATGTTGACAATTTCAACAGGTTTGTTTTGGTTAGCCACAAAAAGCTGTAAGAACACAAAATAAGTGAATACTCAAAACTAATAAGAATTTCTTCATAAGTACTTATCAAATGTTAAGATTTGAAACCTTGAACACATGGAAAGCAGCAATCTGGATGTTCTTGTGTGACTCCTACAAAACATAATTTTAATCGAATTTAGATGACTCGAAACTGCATGATTGATGCAACTTGAAATTTGTCTTCGACATTTTATATTAGAATTTTCATCCTCAATTATTATAAAGAAATAAGCAGGGGATAAATGAGCTGATATATTACAGAAGAAACTATAAAAACGAAATGGCATTCTTGACAGGAAACAGAAATGTTACCCTCAAGAGATTCATCAAAACTCTCATGTTTTCCAACGAGCTGACATAACGTATCATCACACTAGAATTTGAACGATCAAGCAGGATATCTCCCAAAAGCTGAAAGGTAATAGCGATACTCAGTTAAAATTAATTCTTCTTTTTCTCGAAAATTGTTTGCAAAAGAACATAAAATGATCCATCTTAGTCACTTACTTACCTTGACAGAATTTCTTCTGGTTATGTAATTTGTAGATTCGAGCAATTTTGAATTGAATTCTGCAAAAAACTAGAGCAAAGGCACCAAGAAAAATGTATAATAATGTTGAAACGTTCAACAAAGTCACCATACAAGAGTAACAAAACATACCCAAACGTAGTTTTTCATGAGATATTCTGCGACAGTGGATTTATGCCTTGTCATAAGCTCCTGAAAAACACAAAAGTATATTAGATGGAGAAGTGTGATATAGTAAAATTATTCTGAAAGAAAGATAGGAAGACATGCAAATTGATATAAAATATTGAATCCTTATAATTTATGATTCTAGATTGCGACGAAATAAGCACACTTAAAATCGTGATTTCATCCTCGGTAAAGTAATATTACTGATTACTCTAGACGCATATCACATAAGCAACGCTTTTGCATGCAAGATTCGATGACTAATTTGTAGGCATAGGAAATGGAAGATAAGTTGTAAAGCCGGTTCTTCTTATTGTTCCCCTTTTTTCTTATCTAACATGCTCCTTATGCTAAATGTTTTGCTATTTTGGAAAAATAGAACTATAGGAGGCCTCGACAAACCAGAGTAACTCAAAAGTAGATTAATTATCCAAGTCATTACGTTAAGAACTATCTTTTTAACATGAACATAATTCTCTAGAGAGTCTGCAACCGAACGAAAAATAAGCAATTTAGCCCCTGTTTGTTTCTCATTTTTGGAAGAATGAAAATAAAAAATATAGCCGTTACGAGCCCCATACAAGAGATAGAAATTCAAATTTGGTGGCTTGATCTGATGGATAACGATCATATTTTTCATTTTAATGAAAAAAAAGGGGAACCAAACAGGGGCTTAAAGACTAACCTTGAAGGTGGATGCAGCGACTGAAGAAACGTCAAAATTCGCGTGTTGCATATAATCAAAAAACTTTTTCATATGCTCCGAATTCAAAATGTATCTACAAACAGGATATAAATTACCCAAAAAAGAAAATCCATAATTAGAGATTTCAAAAATAAAAAGTTGAAAGGAAAAAACTATTTGAAACCTTCCCAACGGAATTTCTCATCGTTTTTCTCATGAAAAAGTACCTTGCAACAATCTGATGCCGTATAAACTCTCTTAATATTACTCCATAATGCAAAACAATATCTGGATCATCACACCTATAGAAAAATGAAGTAAGAACTAAAGATACACGTGCGCACCACATGTACATGCATACATAAGAGAAAAAACATTTGAATGCAAAATATCTATAAATCGATACTCAAAAATAAACATTTTCACAAGGCCATTTAATTTGAGAATGATGAATATCATACAGTTAATTGTGACTCAAGAATTATGTCAGAAAATAGCAAACAACATGTTAATTTTATGTACTCCTCTTTCTCATTTGGACTGAATGCAGTTGAATATCTCTTTTCAATTTTCTTTTATTGACAATGGCGTTTTATTTCAGTAAAAGGATTGCATTTCCAAAGTAGTTCAAGCGATTTGGCAAAAATCTACAAAATTCAATATAGAAAAAGCCCCTGGGAGACATTAACAAAGGATCTCCACAGATCAATTTCCAAATTCAATCAAGTCATATAAATTTAAGCTCTATCCAAGACGATATGTTTGCTGAGAGTTAGTATTCCTATTGTCACGGTGATATTTCAAAGTAATCAAATATATTATCTTATACAAAGCAGAGATTTTGAATAATTTCTTCCAGTTTTCCGTCCAGGAAACTAAAATATAGCAGTAACAACTAATAGTACAGCAATATAAATATGTATCGCAATAAACTATTTTTCAGAATGTTGTAAGCACAAACAATGATAGCATACCCCATTATCAACTTATCCAAAAGATCTAGATTGGCTTCCAAATAGTCGGAAGCAATTAACCGTGAATCAACTCGTTGCCTTTGCAAATTAGCAACAACTTGAGTGGCATCCTTACGAGCCTAAAAGAGAAAAACAGTATATCCTCGATAAGCAGCAAAAACAAAGTCCAGATTACGCCATACATTGAGTCGAAATATTTAGGTGCCCAAATTTCAAGAACTTAAAAGTTATGTAATTACAACCCACAAAATCTATGGGTGTATGTGCTCACCTCCAAGTTTAATTTTGGGAGACTGAAAATAAGAACCAGCAGTGTATCGTCTTTGAAAAACTCTTTAGTCAATTGCAAGCAAGCTTCTGGAACAGGTTCAGATTCACCAACACCATAAAGAATTGACTTCATCTCCCCAATAAGGACATCTAGTTTGGTCAACTAAAATGAAAAGGCAATTTATAGTTTCAGAAACGACAATAAAAATTGATGGTAAAACTTAACGATACACTACGTTCTAAGGATTCATAAACAAGCAAAAATACAAATGTCAATGATTATTGGCACCAGCAAACATGATGGCATTACAATGCTGACCATTGTTGATATACCCAAATTTATGAGGAAAATTTTCTTCATTATAACACATTAAAAGTTCGATAAAGGAACAAAAACAAATGCACGTGTGTTGATACAAGAATGAGGATTAATTCTCAAACTCCTTTATCTTATGCAGAACCGTTGAGATTTCCTTACTATCCAGAACCTGGCAGGATGTTTGATTTAAATTGCTCAACACAGAAGACATAAACACAATGACGTGTAAAAAATTGTATAATTATAATGAGTAGAAATACATAAAATAGGAAAATCTTAAAAAGCTATGAAAATAATCATCTTAAGTTTTATCTTTTTCTTCTTGCATTAAACATATAATCGTAGAAATCAATAGAATAAAATAAGTTCTTCCATTCAAGCATTGTTCCCTTGCCTCTTCGATTCTCCTTAAAAATGAAAAATCCGACTTAAACATATTGATTACGAAAAAGAAAATTGCACCAATCATGAAAGAATGCATAAGAAATTTACCGTTTCATCATGCTTAGGTCCCCCGGTATCACCACCAGCATCTAGGCCCAAAAGCAGGGCCCTGGTTTCTCTTACAACATCGACAGGGATCCGAGGTTTCTTGGGTTTGAATAGATTCTTCATCGAACTGCTCCTAATAACCTTCTTAACAAGGTTCTTGAAATTCGAAGAAGAACCCAATATCATCTGCTTCGCACCATCCTTCTTCACCACAACAGCCATCTCTTTCCCGTTAATGGAATCTGGAGTTGAGATTCTACAAAGATTACAAAATTTCTGAAATTCCCAATTATTGTTGTAATAATAAAAGGGAATCGAAGAGAAAGCCTTCGGTGTTGTAAGAGAAAGATGATTAGTTTACATATTATCTTTCTATAAGTTTTTGTTGATGTTTTCTTCTTTAAAATAAGAAGAGCTCTATTACGAGCAGAAGACAGAAGACACCCAAATTCATAGGACACCATTGGTTGTTTGCATTTTCCTAAATTCTTGCGTTTCTCCTGCATGTTTGTCTAAGCTTATAAGAAATTTATGCCTCGCTAAATAAATTATTTCTTTTAAAATAAATAATTTTTATTCACTTAATAAGGAATAAGTAATTTTTAATTTTTACTTTTAGGTATGGGAAAAAATCACCTGAGAACTTTTGATTCATCATGACACAGATTTTATGTTCAACATTGAATTATTGAAATTATGCTCACAACGAAAAAGAAAAAGTTTTATTAAATAAAAGTTTATTTGTTAATTTTGCATGGGTGGTCATAGTACATTGAACTACTTTTCAATCATGTTAGTGTTGGAATGCAGAAGCAAAATTATTTAAAAATTAAAATATTTTATAATTCAATTAACAAGATTATTTAGGTATTTACGTGAATATTATATCAAGAATAAAGGATTCGAATTTTTACCTAAATTCGATGATCAATTCTTTAATTATGCTGAATCACAAATTTTCAACTTTTTTGAATCACAAACTTTCAGTCTTTTAATTTCAAAAGTTTGATGCTTCAAATCTCCCATTTTTCTATGATATTCTCCAAACTCAAGACTATACTGATTGGATGTGCATCTTTTTTTAATTAAATCAAGAAACTAATTATTGATCTGAACAATTGATAAAAGCAAGAATTTCTTTTTTCTCTCTCGAAATTTGAGCACTATAGAATTATGTATTATAATTGTTGCAGGAATTTTAGATTCCATCCAGTCTCTATTTATAGAGATAGAATAATTCTAATTCTTGTACAATAATAACTCTACATTCAAATAAGAGTTTTAATAGGAAAAAATTTCAAATACAATTAGTTTAGATTTAATTACATGCGTAGTTTTAGAACTTCAATTACTATTATAATTAAGTTTACTGCTTTTATAGTATTTAAAACTAAGTGTAAAACTTTATTGTAATTATAGTTAAGTCCAAAACTATTATAATTATCGTAACCAAATTCCAATACTTTATGGAGCTACCACAAAGGCTTGATTGAATATATATTATCCAAATTCCAATAATTAAATCATGTTTAGTCAATTCTAGATCACACAATCTAATTATAGTCTTTATATTTTTTCACTAAAGACAAAAGACTGAACTCTTAAAACATATAAGATCATAGAAGCTAATAAATCTATAATACTTTCCTCTAGCCTGCCGTATATGTATTTTATCTCGTCTAAGATCTGATAATTAGATACGAGCAGAAATGATCGTTTTGTTCTTCTAATTATTCTCACTAATTTAAATATCATTTTTCTTCAACGGTCCTATAAACTAATCACAGATGTCGAAATTAACCGTGTTAAACACTGAACTCAGATTTTAACTATTGAATAGAGAATACTTAAGTAGTCACTCTAGCCATTTTTTAGGTTGACGATTCCTGACACAAATTCTTATTCTCTTCTTCGTTCATTCTCAAAATTTCAACTCATCGAAATATTTGACCAATCAAATTGATCTCACTTGTTGATGAATCAAATAACCATCAAAATTTCGAAAAGATATATACATAATCTTGTTAAGGGATTTAGATGAAATATGTAACGGTCAAGTGAAATTTAATTCTTTTCATGGTCATGCTATAAAATTAAACTTAACACGTGATCCGTTCAATACACTCCATGTGTACTAATGTCACTTTAACTATCTTTGTTTATAAAAACGAATCACAAACCCAAATAGTGAATCACTTAACACTACAACCTTTCAATACAAAGTGACAACCTTTATACATTGACTGTGAACAAATTATTTATAATCAAAATATAAATTGTGCCAAGCTGTATTTTTCAACGCAAGTATCCAACTTATATTGTCACAAGTGATCATTGTCACTTTAATTTCCATGCTTAATAATAAATAAATACAATAAATAAATATAATCACAATTTATTTATTATAAATTATTATTTTATCATAAAAATATATATTATATGAACATACAACCCAACAATTATTCCTCCTAATTACATTCCACAACGGCTGTCCTCACCTTATCAAATCCGATCCCATGTTCAACTGTGCTTCTCACTACCTCGTCCTCAACTCCGACCCCATTTGTATAACAGAAAGAGATTGAACATCTCCACGGTAGCCTAAAAATGAACATCTCCACGGTAGCCTAAAAATGATAACAAGGGTTGTGCTAGTTGTACATAATTTTTCATTCATAAAGGTATCCATACACTCACATGGGTGGGGCCCACTCAAATATTTTATTCAAGTGGGTCCCACCTCATGTGAAAGTATGAACACCTTTATGGATGAAAAATTATGTACAACTAAATTTATGCACGAAAACAAAGAGAGTATGAACAGTGATGGCTAATAGCGCAAATCAAATAAAATGGTAAAAGCTGAGGACTAGCCACAATTTAGGCAACAAAACATATAGAACTAAAGATTCAACTAAAGACGTTTCTTGAGATGCATCCTGTATACAACCAACAATTTCATTGCACAAAATTCGTGGAAATCATCCCAAGGGTGTTTGAAAGAATTAACTATAAAAGTTACAGTGAAAATTGAGTGTTCATCGTCGAAAGAATGGCTGTTTTAACATGTGAAAGTGTCTGTCAAATAAAAAACACAATTCGACTCCCCCGCTTAAAAAAATGGCAAGAAGATAAACAAAGATCTTTAGAAGTATATTAGCCCCATGTTATCATCTATATAAACCTCAAGTGTAAAATCTCTAATAGCCATAAACCAGATGCCATCCCTCGCACTGAGTAATATTTGTAATCAAGGGGCCTTCTTCGTGCTTCTCATCAACAGCCCTGGCTGTCCATTGTCAAAGCAATCACTTTGGTGAATTCTGTACTTGTTCGAGAACTGGCATTTACGCCTTCAATTTAGCTGTGAAACTGTCACACTTTCTACATCAATCAGAGGAAAACTGAGAGTTCGGGAGGGGGTTAGCAGATTCAGCATCCAAAGCTCCTCAAAATGCTTTTGAGCTTGTCAAGCACTACAGGAGGATCAGCATAAGACCCACCGAGATATATGGGATGGTACTCCAGCCCTTTCCATCCGGCAATAAGTTCAAAATGCGGACGTCTGTATTCACTACTTATTATCTCTAAAATCACTGTTCCGGGTGTTGCAGAAACTATGTGAGTTAGCCCTGCACCATGAGCACCGATGATGACTGAAGCATCTTGGATGGCTCGAACTTGTTCTTTCATGGGCATGTGTGCAAACAGTCCATTGATTATATTTAATTTACAGTCCAAATGCTTTGAAGCCCAGTTCTTGACAGAATCGAAAACTACTTGTTCATTGCTAAGTCTTGTTTGTACCTTGCCACCATGACGTGGATGAGCTAGATAATCCTCACGTCGTACAAAGAGGATGTTATGACCAGAGACTGGCTTAGGGATGTGGTGTCTATCCAGTGGCAAACCAAAGGCTGCTCTTATCATCTCCCCAAACTCAGACAGTCGAGCAGTTTTCCGATCATCTGGATTTTGCCACAGATCATGTGCAGAAGCTCCATGGCAGTTTATGTTTTCAGTTAGTCCCCCGAATAGAGCAGTTTCATACCCCAATGGGGAGAGGATTGCATGGCGGAAACAAACTGGACCACTAAAATTTTTAGCGTAATTAAGGCTTGAGAACAATGCCCTCCACATTTCTTCCAACTGAGTCTGAAAATACATACAAATGGAAAGAACATCAATGCAAGTGTAGAATGTGCTCAATGACTTCACAAGAATGGACTAACGCTTAATGCCTTGACTTCAAGGGACTTAAAGTTACCATTTTTTATTTATTTATTTTTTTTGAAGTTTCTTGCAATAGATACAATTACTGATTCTTTCAAGAGACGCAGATATGTGGATGGTTTTTAGACAGTTTCTGAAGTGTTTTGATATATCTTGTTAAACCGGCAATAAAGTTCGGGACCTCATCATGGCCCCTCTTCTGCACAAATTTAAAGCTGAAACCAGAGTAAATAAGTAACTAGATGAAAAAAAACCTTGCTTAATGCAATTTGTCAGGGGAAAAAAAAGGTATTGTTCTTACAGAAGACCGATTTTTAGCATACATAATCCTACATGTAGAAACTAGAAAGTATCTTGCAATTACATTTTTACCTATCCGACTGCTTAATAACTTTAAACATCTCATGTTCTCCACTCACATTTGTTAATTTTCCAATTACAGCGAGACAATCAACAACTTGCAGAATCCCCCGATATGCAAGATTTCTAATATAAACAGCATTATGTTATCAATATTACATCAGGAACGTGCAGATAAAGTTAACAGAAGGTATACCTCACAGTGGCCATCTACAAAAACCAAATGAGGTCGATTAGGCAAACCAGTGACCCTAGAAGCAACATACGCACTATACCAGTCAGTCACCGTGTGAAACACGTTTGCATATTCATAACGTGTGACCAAAAGTGTTGGCTCTTCAATCCACTGAAATAAATCCAAAAGATAAATTGTGCAAGCAAAAAAAAAAAAAGTAAAATAAACATTCCCTGAAAACCATAACAAGTACAAGTTAAACAAAGAATGAGGATACATTTCTTGCTCACTTTTCTTAGATCCTAACAAAATAGGTCTTGCTATCACAAAAAATCTAGCTTTTTAGACTAAATTAATGCATGACGACCTAGCACTTCCCGTAAGTTATACTAGGACAATCCTATGAAACTAATAGGCTCAGTCAATGTACCCACACCCAACAGCAAGCAAAATGCACCATAACAGAGTATAATCATGAAGATTACAAAGCAGATAAGAAAATTTCCAAATAATAAACCCGAATATGTCATAAGACAGCTCTCCATAGGCAAATTGCTGCATTAAAATCTAACTTTGTAACCAAAAACTGTGATCAGCATATGATCTAATTGAGCTCATAACATCTATATAAAAAATCAAAAAATATTCATACAGAAAGCTCCATAGACTTGTCAATTTTATCTATTTCTGAAAATGGTCTTGATCATCTTAACAATAAAATGATGCCAAAAAGAGGTGCAGACAAATTACATGTAAAAAGTAGAATGAGATAGTATTTGCTTACCTGTAAGAATTTTTATAGAAAATTGATTATGTTTTGTGACTTTCAGATCAGATCCCCTAAATCTACTACCATTCACCTCCAGATTTCAGGTGTTTCTCTAACTTAGACTGTTAGATGCACACTTTAATTTTAAGATTCAACATAAATGGGAATTTGTTATTATTTTGTGGGTTGCCTCACTATTTCTTGTCGGCCCAAAATGTTTGAGTAAACTTGGGCCCATTATATTCCTGGGTTGCTAAAACGTGTTTCACTTAGAAGAAGCGTGAATGCCTCATTTAAAGGGGGTGGAGATCAATCGTCCACGTGGCTGAATCTCGTCCCTTGGTATGTGATTTTTGGCTGTTCAGATACTTAACTCGATTTTGGCCCTAAATCCAGTGAAAATACCGTGTGCCCTTTCACCTGTTTTCTTCTCTGTGTGAAAGATTAGGGTTCTTCGTTTCTTTACTATAAATCCAAATATTCTTGGTGTTCTTCTCAATCTGATTTCTTAGTGATGTAGTATGATTGTTGTAGTACAGTCTATTAGTGATTGAGATGTTGTTTTGGGTTGTTCAGTGTAAAGAGGCAAAAGGGAACTTGAAGAAACCCTTGGTTTCTTCGTACATTTGTACTATTGTCGACTGATACTTAGTGAATCTTGAGCTTTATCACCTTTTGGTGAAGCTCAACGGGTGACTAGGCCGAAAGGCTGAACATCCGGGCCCTTTTTTAGGACGAAACATATTTTTGTGTTCGATCTTTATTGTTCTGCTATTTTACAATTTTTTGCAAAATAATCAATCCGATTTCGATTCTTAGTGATTCGATTTAGCACCTATTATTAATGAAAACATTTTCCTTTCTTGGTACACATAAGTTTTGAACAATTTGATACATGGGGCCTGCTTTTGTTTGAAAAATTGGCAAATAATGCGAATTAATGAGTTTAAATGGGAGCCAAATGGGGGCTTATTCTTTTTTGCCATTTCTTGGAACTTTCAGGTACTGTATATCTACTTTATAGCAGAACAAATATGAACTTAGGATATTAACTAGGATAACTAACACTAAATATTTGTAACAAGAAGACAGAATAGCAGATCAATTCTCATCAATTAATGAGGAGGATTCTGATTCATGCTGCCAAAAAGAAATAGGTTCATTTCGCATTTTTCTTGAGGTTAATTTTTTTTTCTTGAGTTACTTCACTAAGATCATTTATAGATCATAAGAAATTTTCTGTCGTGCCAAGTAAAATTTTTGGGGCTTGTTTAGTAAAGTTAAGTGTAGGTACTGGATAAAAATAAAGAAGTATATTGTGTAGTACAATGTACCAAGCATATCCACGGTGTACCAAAACTTTCCTGCTTTTATTACAGTTTAACGATATTAATTACATGGTAAGATTGAATGGGAAGTAAAACTTTGGAGTCGAAAGAAGCATACTGCATGGAGTTAGTGGTTCAGTGTGCCCTGGGGAAGTTCTTGCTATCATGGGACCTTCTGGGAGTGGAAAATCTACTCTACTGAATCTTCTGAGTGGAAGAGTGAAAAACAGTGGTGGAACCATAACTTATGATGATCAACTATATGCGAAGTCATTGAAGCGAAGGTAAGCGAATTATTTTCACTAAATGAGAAATCAAGACATACAGGACTTCTGATCACGAAATGATTGATATGCGGATGATAATCAGGATTGGATTTGTCCTACAAGATGATATCGTGTTTCCTCACCTTATTGTTAAAGAGACCTTAACTTATGCAGCTTTGCTTCGGCTTCCTAGCACATTATCTAGGCAGCAGAAAAAGGAGAGAGCCATGAACATAGGGGTGTCAAAAAGGCTCGGTGGCTCGGGCGGCTCGTGGCTCGGCTCGGAAAAAGCCCGAGCCGCCCGGCTCGTGGCTCGTAGGGATCGAGCCTAGGCTCGGGCCGAGCCTCAAAATAAGAGGCCGGCCCGAGCCCGAGCAAGCCCGTGTGGCTCGCCGAGCCACACGGGCCGGCTCGTGTCACGGGCCAAAAATGGCCCGTGACAAAAATGCTCGGCCCGAGCAAATAAAAGAAAAAAAAAAAAAAATTTTGAAAAAAAAATTTTTTTACCTGCTGCCTTAGGCAGCAGGTTACAGCTGCCGGTTAAGGGGGCAGGCTGGCAGCTATATAGCTGCCGGTTCAGCTATATAGCTGCCTTTTTTTTTTCGATTAGACTATTAGTATATTATACTGTTATATTTTTGAAATTCAAATTTGAAAAATAATGCGGGTTTTTTTATCTATAAATACGAGATGATTTTTGAAGTTTTAAATCACTTTGCTATCGATTTTACTTCGTATTATTTCTATATTATAGATTCAGATTCAAGTTTCAATTTCTTCTTTCTCACTAGTCACTTCTCATATAACAATTAATATATTCAATTTCTTTCACTTTACAGTCTAATATTCAGTATTTTTTATTATACTAGTTATTATGGATTTTACAAGTGATGAAATTAATCAGTTTGGCGGTAGTTCGAGTACTCCATCTAACTACGATGCATGTGAAAATGTTCCAATTAATTTGGAGGATATTGAAGAGGAAGAAGTTCAAGTACTCGAGACAAAAAGGTCAAAAAAAGAATCATCGGACTGTTGGCAACATATGACACGAAAAAAAATTGGTGTTCAAAATGGAGTAGATATTTGGAAAGCATGTTGCAATTATTGTGGCAAAGAACTTAGTTGGAAGCCTGGTTCGAGCACAACGCATTTGAATAGACACGTATTGAGGAGTTGCAAAGCAAAACCAGCCGATCTCGACTCGAAACAAACCGAACTAGTGTTTGGCGGTTCTAATTCTACTCTTTCCACTTTTGTATATTCACAGGAAAGATTTCGTGAAGGAATGGCTGCATACGTGGCTGCAGCAGAGATGCCGCTTACGATGATAGACTCAATACACTTTACCCGACTCGTGCAGAAATATCTCCAACCGAGGTATTCTTCTTATTCTAGAAATACTCTTCGTTCGGATAGCATAAAATTATATAACAGAAGAAAACAAATTACTATTGAAGGTCTAAAAAGTTTTAATAGTGTTATATCGTTTACTTCTGATTTATGGACTGGTTGTAATAGAAAAGGTTATATTGCTGCTACGGCTCATTATATTGATCACTTGTGGCTTCTACATAAAAGAATTATTGCATTTAGATGTGTAGAATTTCCTCATAATGCCACTAATATATACATGGTTTTAAAAGATATCATACAGGAATATGGTATACAAGATATGGTTCGAAGTTTTACTTTTGATAATGCTGCAGTGAACAAAGTTGTTATTGAAAGATTTATTGCTGATCTTAATCCCGTATTTGGAAATTTATTTTTTCAACAACGTTGCGTATGTCATATTATTAATTTGATTGTAAAAGCTGGATTAGAACATATAAGTTCACCTTTAGATAAAATTAGACAAGCAATAAATTTTATTACTGTATCACCAGCAAGAAAACAAGCATTTAATAGTTTGTGTGCAGAGTATGGATTACAGGAGAAATCATTTGCCACTGATGTAACACACAGGTGGAACTCTACATATCTTATGTTACATTCGTGTGAAAATTACGATAAAGTGATTTCACTATATTATAATGGTAGACATACACTCGGACCCGAACATAATTTGGAAGATTGGGAATGGACTATTGCATTTTACGTGAAAAAATTCTTACAACCTTTTTTCGATACTACAAAGGAATGTAACGGTGTTTATTACAAAGTTCGATAAAGGAACAAAAACAAATGCACGTGTGTTGATACAAGAATGAGGATTAATTCTCAAACTCCTTTATCTTATGCAGAACCGTTGAGATTTCCTTACTATCCAGAACCTGGCAGGATGTTTGATTTAAATTGCTCAACACAGAAGACATAAACACAATGACGTGTAAAAAATTGTATAATTATAATGAGTAGAAATACATAAAATAGGAAAATCTTAAAAAGCTATGAAAATAATCATCTTAAGTTTTATCTTTTTCTTCTTGCATTAAACATATAATCGTAGAAATCAATAGAATAAAATAAGTTCTTCCATTCAAGCATTGTTCCCTTGCCTCTTCGATTCTCCTTAAAAATGAAAAATCTGACTTAAACAAATTGATTACGAAAAAGAAAATTGCACCAATCATGAAAGAATGCACAAGAAATTTACCGTTTCATCATGCTTAGGTCCCCCGGTATCACCACCAGCATCTAGGTCCAAAAGCAGGACCCTGGTTTCTCTTACAACATCGACAGGGATCCGAGGTTTCTTGGGTTTGAATAGATTCTTCATTGAACTGCTCCTAATAACCTTCTTAACAAGGTTCTTGAAATTCGAAGAAGAACCCAATATCATCTGCTTGGCACCATCCTTCTTCACCACAACAGCCATCTCTTTCCCGTTAATGGAATCTGGAGTTGAGATTCTACAAAGATTACAAAATTTCTGAAATTCCCAATTATTGTTGTAATAATAAAAGGGAATCGAAGAGAAAGCCTTCGGTGTTGTAAGAGAAAGATGATTAGTTTACATATTATCTTTCTATAAGTTTTTGTTGATGATTTCTTCTTTAAAATAAGAAGAGCTCTATTACGAGCAGAAGACAGAAGACACCCAAATTCATAGGACACCATTGGTTGTTTGCATTTTCCTAAATTCTTGCGTTTCTCCTGCATGTTTGTCTAAGCTTTTAAGAAATTTATGCCTCGCTAAATAAATTATTTCTTTTAAAATAAATAATTTTTATTCACTTAATAAGGAATAAGTAATTTTTAATTTTTACTTTTAGGTATGGGAAAAAATCACCTGAGAACTTTTTATTCATCATGACACAGATTTTATGTTCAACATTGAATTATTGAAATTATGCTCATAACGAAAAAGAAAAAGTTTTATTAAATAAAAGTTTATTTGTTAATTTTGCATGGGTGGTCATAGTACATTGAACTACTTTTCAATCATGTTATTGTTGGAATGCGGAAGCAAAATTATTTAAAAATTAAAATATTTTATAATTCAATTAACAAGATTATCTAGATATTTACGTGAATATTATATCAAGAATAAAGGATTCAAATTTTTACCTAAATTCGATGATCAATTCTTTAATTATGTTGAATCACAAATTTTCAACTTTTTTGAATCACAAACTTTCAGTCTTTTAATTTCAAGAATTTGATGCTTCAAATCTCCCATTTTTTTATGATATTCTCCAAACTCAAGACTATACCGATTGGATGTGCATCTTTTTTTAATTAAATCAAGAAACTAATTCTTGATCTAAACAATTGATAAAAGCAAGAATTTCTTTTTTCTATCTCTCGAAATTTGAGCACTATAGAATTATGTATTATAATTGTTGTAGGAATTTTAGATTCCATCCAGTCTCTATCTATAGAGATAGAATAATTCTAATTCTTGTACAATAATAACTCTACATTCAAATAAGAGTTTTAATAGGAATTTTAATTAAATTTCAAATACAATTAGTTTAGATTTAATTACATGCGTAGTTTTAGAACTTCAATTACTATTATAATTAAGTTTACTACTTTTATAGTATTTAAAACTAAGTGTAAAACTTTATTGTAATTATAATTAAGTCCAAAACTATTATAATTATCGTAATCAAATTCCAATACTTTATTGTTCTTCTAATTATTCTCACTAATTTAAATATCATTTTTCTTCAACGGTTCTATAAACTAATCACAGATGTCGAAGTTAACCGTGTTAAACACTGAACTCAGATTTTAACTATTGAATAGAGAATACTTAAGTAGTCACTCTGGCCATTTTTTAGGTTGACGATTCCTGACACAAATTCATATTCTCTTCTTCGTTCATTCTCAAAATTTCAACTCATCGAAATATTTGACCAATCAAATTGATCTCACTTGTTGATGAATCAAATAACCATCAAAATTTCGAAAAGATATATACATAATCCTGTTAAGGGATTTAGATGAAATATGTAACGGTCAAGTGGAATTTAATTCTTTTCATGGTCATGCTATAAAATTAAACTTAACACGTGATCCGTTCAATACACTCCATGTGTACTAATGTCACTTTAACTATCTCTGTTTATAAAAACGAATCACAAACCCGAATAGTGAATCACTTAACACTACAACCTTTCAATACAAAGTGACAACCTTTATACATTGACTGTGAACAAATTATTTATAATCAAAATATAAATTGTGTCACGCTGTATTTTTCAACGCAAGTACCCAACTTATATTGTCACAAGTGATCATTGTCACTTTAATTTCCATGCTTAATAATAAATAAATACAATAAATAAATATAATCACAATTTATTTATTATAAATTATTATTTTATCATAAAAATATATATTATATGAACATACAACCCAACAATTATTCCTCCTAATTACATTCCACAACGGCTGTCCTCACCTTATCAAATCCGATCCCATGTTCAACTGTGCTTCTCACTACCTCGTCCTCAACTCCGACCCCATTTGTATAACAGAAAGAGATTGAACATCTCCACGGTAGCCTAAAAATGAACATCTCCACGGTAGCCTAAAAATGATAACAAGGGTTGTGCTAGTTGTACATAATTTTTCATTCATAAAGGTATCCATACACTCACATGGGTGGGGCCCACTCAAATATTTTATTCAAGTGGGTCCCACCTCATGTGAAAGTATGAACACCTTTATGGATGAAAAATTATGTACAACTAAATTTATGCACGAAAACAAAGAGAGTATGAACAGTAATGGCTAATAACGCAAAACAAATAAAATGGTAAAAGCTGAGGACTAGCCACAATTTAGGCAACAAAACATATAGAACTAAAGATTCAACTAAAGACGTTTCTTGAGATGCATCCTGTATACAACCAACAATTTCATTGCACAAAATTCGTGGAAATCATCCCAAGGGTGTTTGAAAGAATTAACTATAAAAGTTACAGTGAAAATTGAGTGTTCATCGTCGAAAGAATGGCTGTTTTAACATGTGAAAGTGTCTGTCAAATAAAAAACACAATTCGACTCCCCCGCTTAAAAAAATGGCAAGAAGATAAACAAAGATCTTTAGAAGTATATTAGCCCCATGTTATCATCTATATAAACCTCAAGTGTAAAATCTCTAATAGCCATAAACCAGATGCCATCCCTCGCACTGAGTAATATTTGTAATCAAGGGGCCTTCTTCGTGCTTCTCATCAACAGCCCTGGCTGTCCATTGTCAAAGCAATCACTTTGGTGAATTCTGTACTTGTTCGAGAACTGGCATTTACGCCTTCAATTTAGCTGTGAAACTGTCACACTTTCTACATCAATCAGAGGAAAACTGAGAGTTCGGGAGGGGGTTAGCAGATTCAGCATCCAAAGCTCCTCAAAATGCTTTTGAGCTTGTCAAGCACTACAGGAGGATCAGCATAAGACCCACCGAGATATATGGGATGGTACTCCAGCCCTTTCCATCCGGCAATAAGTTCAAAATGCGGACGTCTGTATTCACTACTTATTATCTCTAAAATCACTGTTCCGGGTGTTGCAGAAACTATGTGAGTTAGCCCTGCACCATGAGCACCGATGATGACTGAAGCATCTTGGATGGCTCGAACTTGTTCTTTCATGGGCATGTGTGCAAACAGTCCATTGATTATATTTAATTTACAGTCCAAATGCTTTGAAGCCCAGTTCTTGACAGAATCGAAAACTACTTGTTCATTGCTAAGTCTTGTTTGTACCTTGCCACCATGACGTGGATGAGCTAGATAATCCTCACGTCGTACAAAGAGGATGTTATGACCAGAGACTGGCTTAGGGATGTGGTGTCTATCCAGTGGCAAACCAAAGGCTGCTCTTATCATCTCCCCAAACTCAGACAGTCGAGCAGTTTTCCGATCATCTGGATTTTGCCACAGATCATGTGCAGAAGCTCCATGGCAGTTTATGTTTTCAGTTAGTCCCCCGAATAGAGCAGTTTCATACCCCAATGGGGAGAGGATTGCATGGCGGAAACAAACTGGACCACTAAAATTTTTAGCGTAATTAAGGCTTGAGAACAATGCCCTCCACATTTCTTCCAACTGAGTCTGAAAATACATACAAATGGAAAGAACATCAATGCAAGTGTAGAATGTGCTCAATGACTTCACAAGAATGGACTAACGCTTAATGCCTAAACTTCAAGGGACTTAAAGTTACCATTTTTTATTTATTTATTTATTTTTTTTTTTTTTGAAGTTTCTTGCAATAGATACAATTACTGATTCTTTCAAGAGACGCAGATATGTGGATGGTTTTTAGACAGTTTCTGAAGTGTTTTGATATATCTTGTTAAACCGGCAATAAAGTTCGGGACCTCATCATGGCCCCTCTTCTGCACAAATTTAAAGCTGAAACCAGAGTAAATAAGTAACTAGATGAAAAAAAACCTTGCTTAATGCAATTTGTCAGGGGAAAAAAAAGGTATTGTTCTTACAGAAGACCGATTTTTAGCATACATAATCCTACATGTAGAAACTAGAAAGTATCTTGCAATTACATTTTTACCTATCCGACTGCTTAATAACTTTAAACATCTCATGTTCTCCACTCACATTTGTTAATTTTCCAATTACAGCGAGACAATCAACAACTTGCAGAATCCCCCGATATGCAAGATTTCTAATATAAACAGCATTATGTTATCAATATTACATCAGGAACGTGCAGATAAAGTTAACAGAAGGTATACCTCACAGTGGCCATCTACAAAAACCAAATGAGGTCGATTAGGCAAACCAGTGACCCTAGAAGCAACATACGCACTATACCAGTCAGTCACCGTGTGAAACACGTTTGCATATTCATAACGTGTGACCAAAAGTGTTGGCTCTTCAATCCACTGAAATAAATCCAAAAGATAAATTGTGCAAGCAAAAAAAAAAAAAGTAAAATAAACATTCCCTGAAAACCATAACAAGTACAAGTTAAACAAAGAATGAGGATACATTTCTTGCTCACTTTTCTTAGATCCTAACAAAATAGGTCTTGCTATCACAAAAAATCTAGCTTTTTAGACTAAATTAATGCATGACGACCTAGCACTTCCCGTAAGTTATACTAGGACAATCCTATGAAACTAATAGGCTCAGTCAATGTACCCACACCCAACAGCAAGCAAAATGCACCATAACAGAGTATAATCATGAAGATTACAAAGCAGATAAGAAAATTTCCAAATAATAAACCCGAATATGTCATAAGACAGCTCTCCATAGGCAAATTGCTGCATTAAAATCTAACTTTGTAAAGAAAAACTGTGATCAGCATATGATCTAATTGAGCTCATAACATCTATATAAAAAATCAAAAAATATTCATACAGAAAGCTCCATAGACTTGTCAATTTTAGCTATTTCTGAAAATGGTCTTGATCATCTTAACAATATTACATGTAAAAAGTAGAATGAGATAGTATTTGCTTACCTGTAAGAATTTTTATAGAAAATTGATTATGTTTTGTGACTTTCAGATCAGATCCCCTAAATCTACTACCATTCACCTCCAGATTTCAGGTGTTTCTCTAACTTAGACTGTTAGATGCACACTTTAATTTTAAGATTCAACATAAATGGGAATTTGTTATTATTTTGTGGGTTGCCTCATTACTTCTTTCTGGCCCAAATGTTTTGAGCAGACTTGGGTCCATTATATTCCCGGACTCTGAAACGTGTTTATAAAGAAGAAGCGTGAATGCCTCCTTTAAAGGGTAGAGATCAGTCGTCCACGTGGCTGAATCTTGGCCCTTAGTATGTGACGTTTGACTGTTCAGATACTTAACTTGGTTTTGGCCCTCATTCCGGTTACGATACCGTGTGCCCTTTCGCCTGTTTTTCTTCTCTCTCTGAGTGAAAGATTAGGGTTCTTCTTTTTACTGTAAATCCAAATATTCTTGGTGGTTTTTCTCAATCTGATTTCTCAGCGATGTAGTATGATTGCTGTAGTACAATCTATTAATGATTAAGAGGTATTTTTGGGTTGTTCAGTGTGAAGAGGCGAAACGGAACTCGAAGAAACCAAGGGTTTCTTCGTACATTTGTACTATTCTTGATTGATATTTAGTGGATCTTGAGCTTTATCGCATTTTGGTTATACTCAACGGGTGATTAGGCCGAAAGGCTGAACATCCGGACCCTTTTTAGGGCGAAACATATCTTTGTGTTCGATTTTTAATTGTTCTGCGATTACAATTTTGTGCTCAAATAACCGATCCTATTTCGATTCTTAGTTATTCGATTTAACAAGTGGTATCGGAGCCACTATTTTTTTTAAAAAAAACTTTCTGGCAAGAAATTTGTTTACGTTTTCTGGTTCAGATATGGGGTTTTCTTGAAATTCTTTTAAACCAAAAGTTGTATTTTTAATGTGACTCATTTTAACTCGTCGTGATTTACTCTAACTCATTACTGACTCTGTTTGATCTTTTGTTTTATGTACTGAGTTCTGTCGAGTTGAGTTGAACCAGTCCAGTCCTTGGTGAGTTCTTGACTCACTACTGAGTTCTCACTGAGTCTTGGTGACTCGTTGGCTTCTCGATTTTGCATTGTGTTTCTTGGTCCGGTTCTCACGTTCCTTCATTGTCTGACTTCATTCTGAAACATTAAAGGTTTCAGATTCTGGTATTTTCTTGATCCCCCTATTATTAAACTGTAATCTCAATCTATTTGGTATCAGTTATTAAGGTAAGTAATCTTTCACCACTTACCTTTATCCAAGAACTCCTACGAGGATCTGGGAATCTGAGAAAGTAGTGGGCTGCTAGATTATCACCCCTTAAACCATTTCCAAACTGATTTATATCTGCTATTTTTTAATTACTTTGTATACTGCATAATAAGTAGATATAAGTGCATTTTATGTTTTACTCATATTGTCACTATTCATCCAGCCATATATACCTGAATCTACATACTTTGTGTATTGCATATTTGTTGTTTTGTGTATATATCTGTCACCATGTCTATTACACATAAATTTGAAATTGAGACATGGAATGGCTCTAGAGACTTTAGTCTCTGGCGCCGCCAAAAACTGAGGGCATTACTGCTGCAGCAAAGGTGTGCCGCAGCTATTGATGAAAATTGGGCCGTAGAAATTAGTGCTTATAGGAGGCAAGAATTAAGTGACATGGCATGGAGTACAATTTTCTTACACTTATCTAATAATGTTATTAGAAAGGTTGGGGAAACTACAACTGCTGAGGCTCTCTGGACTAAGTTAGAATCACTTTATCTAACTAAAACTATGCCAAATAAATGTTACCTCGTAAGGCAATTTTATAACTTCAGATTTGATCCCACCTCAAATTTGAAAAAAAATCTTGACAGATTCACAAAACTGATTCAGGATCTTGCTAATTGTGATGAAGAGATTTCCGATGATCAACAATCTGTAGCCTTGTTAAATTCTTTAAGTGATAAGAATAGAGATATCAGAAATGTTTTAGAATATGGGGGGCAAGAACTTACTATTGATAAAATTACTTCAGCCCTGAGAAACAGAGAACTTGAAATAAAAGCTGAGTCAAAAGACTCCAAATATGGTGAAGGGTTATACATAAAAGAGAAATATAACCAAACCAAGAAACAATATTCTTTCAATCAAAACTCTAGCACGAAAGGAAAACCTCAATTTTCTAAATTTAAGGAGAAGAATAAGAATCAAGGGAAAACCAGAAACCAAATCAGAAAGTGTTACCATTGTGGAAGGACTGGCCACATAATAAAAGACTGCTTCAAGAAAATCACTGATATGAAAAATAAAACAAATTCTGAAGGGTCTGCAGCTGTTGCCTGCAAAAATGAATCTGATATTCAAGGGGTTGTTTTGGTTACAACCACCAGAAGGGACCCAAATGAATGGGTCCTTGATTCTGAATGCACCTTTCACATGTGTCCCAAAATTTAATGATTTACTGAATTAGTTAACCTAAATGGTGGACAAATCCACATGGGAAATGACATGAGTTGTCAAGTTAAAGGAGTTGGAAAGGTCAAACTTCTGTTGGATAACAACTTCACTCTTGACCCTGAAGATACTAGATATGTACCTGAGCTTAAAAGAAATCTTATTTCCTTAGGTGAACTTAATGATAAATATAATATCACAATTCATAAAGGGCTTCTAACACTTAAGCAAAGAAGTAAAATTGTGGTAACCTCTCCCAAGATTAATGGCATCTATACTATGTGTGCTAAATTTTTGTTTGATTAGTGCACTGCAGCCTTAAACTCTGACTCCAAATAAGTCTTCAATTTGGCATAAAAGACTTGGACACATATCAGAAAAAGGGTTATCTATTTTAAATAAAGTTGGATATTTTGGAACAGACAATGTTAAAGGTTTGGATTTTTGTGAAAATTGTATTTGTGGAAAGCAAAAACAATTACCTTTTAAAACTGGTATTCACAAATCTACTTCCACTCTAGATTATTTACATGCTGATATGTGGGGACCAACCTCTGTTAATACTCTAAGTGGATTCAGATTTTACCTACTTATAGTAGATGAATTTTCAAGAAAAATTTAGACTTTTCTTCTAAAGAAATCTAATACTTTCCAAACCTTCAAACAATGGAAATTAAAGATTGAAAACCAGACAAACAAGAAAATCTGCAATACTAAGTTTGATTTTTTCTGTAAAAATTCTGGAATTTTGAGACATAGAACTGTAACATACACGCCTCAGCAAAATGGTGTGGCTGAGAGAATGAATAGATATTTACTGAAAAAAGTAAGGTATATGTTTTAAAGTTCTGGTCTCCCTAAGTTTTTTTGGGGAGAAGCCCTAAAAACTGCAACTTATCTAATACATTGAAGTCCATCTAGTGCTATTGATTTTCAAGTTCCTGAACAGTAGTGGTCTAGAAAAAATCCTGATTACAGTAAACTAAAGGTTTTTGGCTGCACTGCCTATTCACATCAAAATGAAGGGAAACTTGAACCTAGATCCTTAAAATGTGTTTTTCTGGACTATGGAGAGGAAACTAAAGTGTACAGACTGTGGGTTAGAAGCCAAAATAGTTTTAAGGTTATCATTACCAGAAATGTCATCTTTAATGAAAATGACATGCCATGTGTTGAGTCTACTAACCTTAAAACTTCAGAATCTACACAATGAAAGGAAACCATGTTAGAAAATCAATCTGATCATCAAGATGATTTGATTGAGGTGGAGACCCCTCAATCTGAGGAAAATCCTGAACATAATAAAACTGATATTGAAGAAGAATCCTTAGGAGATACACTTGCTGATTACCAATTAACCAGGGATAGAGAAAGGAGAAATATAATACCTTCTACCAGAATTAGCGATGAAGAATTTGTTACATTTTTCTCATCCCTGGATTCACTAAATTCTGAACCTGCTACATTTAATGAAGCTATTAAAAGTCTAGATTCTAAACATTGGAAAAATGCTATGAATGAAGAAATGGATTCCCTCTTAAAAATTAAAACCTTGGTTCTGGTTGACAGACCAAAGAACCAAAAGGTTATTGATTGCAAGTGGATATATAAAATCAAACAAGGAGACTCAGATTCACAAAATAAAAGATACAATGCCAGACTTGTGGCTAAGGGTTTTACTCAAAAGGAGGGAGTAGATTATAATGAAATCTTCTCATTAGTGGCCAAATACACCTCAATCAGAATTATATTAGCCTTAACTGCTCATTTCAACTGGGAATTAGATCAACTTGATGTAAAAACGGCATTTCTTAATGGTGATCTTTATGAAACCTTATACATGAACCAGCCTTTAGGATATGAAGTAAAGTCAAAGGTCGATAAGGTTTGCTTGTTGAAAAAGTCGCTTTATGCGCTGAAACAAGCCCCCTAGGCAGTGGTATATCAAATATAACTCTTATGTGCATACTTTGGGTTTTGTTAAAAGCAATTATGATTCATGTTTTTCTATAAAGGTTCTGGTGGATCTGGATCCATTTACCTATTATTATATATTGATGACATGTTGCTTGCCTATAATGATAGATCTTAAATTGATTTCATTAAGTCAAAGTTGAAATCTGAATTTGAAATGAAAGATCTAGGTCAAGCAAGAAGAATTATTGGAATGGAAATAAAAAGAGATAGGAAAAATTGCATGTTAATGTTGAAACAAGACTCTTATGTGAAGAAAATACTTGAAAAGTTTGCTATGCTTGAGTGTAAATCTGTGTCTTTGCCCATTGCAAATCATTTTAAACTGCCTAGTGAAAACTCACCTAAGACTAATGATGAATTCTTAAGAATGGAAAAGATACCTTATGCTAATGCTGTAGGATCTATGATGTACCTTATGGTGTGTACAAGACCTGACTTAGTTCATGACATTAGTACTTTAAGCAGGTTTATGTCCAACCTCGGTGAAACACATTGGTTAGCCATGAAATGGATGTTGAGGTACCTAAAAGGTATTTCAGGTTTAGGTGTAGTGTTTAAAAGAAGTAATGAAGGGGTAAGCTTAAAAGGTTACACCGACTCTAATTTTGTTGGTGACTTAGACAAAAGAAAGTCTACGTCTTCATATTTTTTCACTTTGTGTGATTGCTGCATTAGTTAAAAGTCTCAATTACAAAAATTAATTGCATTATCCTCTACTGAAACTGAATACATTGTTGCATGTGATGCTGTAAAAGAAAGTCTCTGGCTTAGAGGTTTATTAAATGAAATAAGTTTTGAAAATAATTCTGTTAGGATTTATACTGATAACCAAAGTGCCATACATCTGAGTAAAAATCCTGTCTATCATGATAGAACAAAACATATAGATATAAAGTTTCACTTTGTGAGAAATATGGCAGAAAAAGGTATGATAAATATGGTGAAAATTCCTACAGAATTTAATCCTGCAGACTTAGAAACCAAGGTATTACCGTTAAATAAATTTTTAAACTGCTTGAAGATTCTGAACATTACTTAAGTAAAAATCAGAACTTCAAGTAATTTGTGTTGAACAGATTTGAACTAATAATTTTTCTTTTCTTGCAGGTAATTAGAGCAAATGATCCAAGATGTGATATAGACTTCTAGATCCACTAGTAAAGATCAACAAATAGTTCAGCAAGGTGGAGATTATTATTATTTTGTGGGCTGCCTCACTATTTCTTTCTGGCCCAAATGTTTTGAGCAGACTTGGGTCCATTATATTCCCAGGTTCTAAAACGTGTTTATAAAGAAGCGTGAATGCCTCCTTTAAAGGGTAGAGATCAGTCGTCCACGTGGTTGAATCTTAGCCCTTGGTATGTGACGTTTGGCTGATCAGATACTTAACTTGGTTTTGGCCCTCATTCTGGTCACGATACCGTGTGCCCTTTCGCCTGTTTTTCTTCTCTCTCTGAGTGAAAGATTAGGGTTCTTCGTTTTTAAATTAAATCCAAATATTCTTGGTGTTTTTTCTCAATCTGATTTCTTAGCGATGTAGTATGATTGTTGTAGTACAATCTATTAGTGATTGAGAGGCATTTTTGGGTTGTTTAGTGTGAAGAGGCGAAAGGGAACTCGAAGAAACCCTTGGTTTCTTCGTACATTTGTACTATTCTTGATTGATACTTAGTGGATCTTGAGCTTTATGACCTTTTGGTGATGCTCAATGGGCGATTAGGTCGAAAGGCTGAACATCCGGGCCCTTTTTAGGGCGAAACATATATTTGTGTTCAATTTTTAATTGTTCTGTGATTACAATTTTCTGCTCAAATAACCGATCCGATTTCGATTCTTAGCGATTCGATTTAACAAAATTTAATTCATCTAAATAATCAAACACTTCCATCCAAAGCAATATCTGATGTTTCCGATCACTGAAAGCCACTTGGATGGAACTTATATTCATAACTCAAGCAAATAAAAGAGAAAAATCTGCTAATAACAGAGCAACAAGATTCTAATTCTTTCCTTTTTCAGTACTTTAAATCAAATCTAATCCCATTTCATTTATTGCAACATCCTTCCCAACAAATCCAATCATTTAAACAGTTAATGAACACAAAACATAAATATAAAAGAATTAAAATTCCTAATAAATTTAAGCCCAAACAATAAATTCATTCCCAAAAATCAAATTTTTACCATGTTTAACATATCAGGAAAAAAAAAAAAAACCTTAGAGCAAGTGAATTCAGTGGCATCAGCTAACCGAATGGAATCGACCAATCCACGCATCGTGTGCCTATCAATAGCACCTTCTTGGACATAATTATTCAAGAACTTTTCGTCCACCAGCCTTTTCCCATTCCTCGATCTATCATTAACCTTAATTTCGAATGCACCAGCTTCGAAATTCGGCAATTCTTCATCTTCTCCTCTCCCGATCACACTCTCCAACTTCTCTCCCCCTTTGGACATTAAAATCCTCCCCGGAACCATCCGGATGCTTCCCCCTTCGCATATGGAGCTCCTCAAAGTCTCGCTATAAAAACACCTGAACCACCCAGCACCACCGCCGTCACCCAATTTCCGGTTAGTTTCCGAAATGGGTTTTAATAGATCAACACGATGGGTGAAGCCGTTGCCAAAATAGGCTTCGCAAGAACGAAAAGGGACATTGGGATTTTGCGACCAGGGGAGGTAGGAAGGCAATATGGGCCAGGGCTTTACGGAAAGCGGGAGGTTGTTAGAATAGTGATAAGCCGGCGTCTGATTGTGACGTGGTTGATCTGGGTGGGAAGAGAAGTAGAGGTAGAGAGATACAGAATTAATTGCGAAGAGAGCGAGCAAGATTTTCAGCTTTTTGCTGTTCATGTTCTGATTCTTGCTCTCTCTCTTTCTGTGAGAGAAACACCTCTATCGTTCCTTCCTCCATTGTTTGGGGATGATTTTTAGATGTATTTATGATGATGTTAATGCGTCTGTACCTTTAACTCAACTTAACTGGGGTTTTAGATTAGGAAAAAAATGTGAGTTCATGAAAGTAGCCAATGACAGATAAACACGTGGATTATTAAGCAGTTTATGCCAAAAAAATTACATTTTTCTCAGGCAATTCTCTTCCTATGCCGTTAATTTTGACCGATAAAAACGAGTAATTTTAAAAATATAAATAAATTTAGGAAAATTGTAGTCAAGGTCCTAATTTTTTTTCAAAAAAGTGTAATTTGTCCCAAATATTTTTTTTTGGCAGTGTCATCTCAAATATTTGCAAGGATATGCAACACGAGGGTCTTTAGATGGTAACCATCTAAAAATCTGTTAGTTAAGCAAGTGTATTCAACTTGTCCTCATTTGAAGGGAAAAATTGTCCATCCACAATTTCTCACTTTAAAAAATAGATTAATAAAATATAAAAAGAAATTTATCATCTTCCCTAACCTACCCTTGCACGATTTGGTGGGGTGGGATAGAAGTGATAGCGTTGAAGCTTTTCAAGGACGTGGACGCAGCACTGTGTGGCTTGGGTTTGGAGTAGGATGGGGTGATGACGAAGTGATTCTTTTTTCTAAATTTTTTCATTCCTTCTTATCTCTCTCTCTCTCTCCCCCCTCCCTCCCAGACATTCCATCCAAACGTTATTATGTTGCATATTTTGTCAAAGTTTGGAATAGTGATGCTAAAAAAAAAAAAAGTAAAAAAAAAAAAAAAAAAAACATTATAGGACTCCATTGTACTTTATGAGAAGACTAGGGACCCCAACTACAAGTGTCCCTTAAATTTGTTTCAAATAAATGCTTTAGGAATATTTTATAATATTGAACATTAATTATTGTGAGGGCATCCACATTATATACTTTTGAACTTGTAGGCATGCAGCACTTTACTCGGATAGTTTGGGTTTTGGGGTGGGGGTGCTATTCTTTTATAGTGTGAATTAGAGCTAGCAGTTAGAAAATTAAGAGTCTTGTTTAGCCATGCAAGAGTTTCAAATCAAATTTTTCAATATGATACCTTGGAAAAAGAGTAATCATAATAAAAGAATTTTCATATGATGTTAATAAATAAGCTACACAGCATAACATTCTTCCTTTCACACGATTTAAATGAAAAATAAAAATTAAAAATACTACAACCTAAAAACCCAAAAAAACAGAGGATTCAGATTTCCAGTGTCTTGCTTTCTCAAATCCATTAGTGCAATTCTCATAATCTTCCATTGTTCTATCAATTTCCTCTTGACTATTCATCACAAATGGTCCAAATTGAACCACAGGTTCCCCCAAAGGCTCCCCTCCAACTAAGATAAACCTAAGGGATTTGGAGGACTTGTTCCAGACCTCGAGGCCATAGCCAGAGGACCCCAATAGAAGAAGATGATGGGCCGTCGTCGGGGAAGAATGTGAATTTCCAAATATGCCCTCACCTTCCAAAATGTATACAAACGCATTCCATGAAACTGGTATAGGTTGCCTAACTTGTGCCCCTGGCTTGAGAGAGAAATCCAAGTACATCGTGGGGGTCCTAGTGTATATTGGTGACGTAATTCCCAATGCCTCTCCGGCTATAACTCGTACGTTAACTCCATCTTTTGCAGCTTCTGCTACGTCCTTACTTCTTATTTCTTGATACCTTGGCTCAATCCTGTAGAAGAAAACAAATAAAATGTGTTTGGTAAGGACAATTGGACAATACTAAAGGTAGGAAATAAGTTAGAATCTTGTCGATATGCTCGGGTCTCATCAAGTGCTGCATGCTGAACGTTCCCATATTGGTTCAAGAGCTGGATACACTTTCTCATCAAAGAAAAAGCATAATCAGAAGAAGTTTTAGGCAGGCTCAGGTAGTCGTTGTTTTTTGGTATTTAATGATCAATAAATGGCTCCATACTTAATTATGTACAAGGAATTGCCCTATCGAGTAATGGGACTAGGCCAACTTACATTTTATATTTAGAGGAGAGGTTAATCCACAATTGTAAACCCTTTTGAGTTCCATTGGATGCAGGCATTTCTGAGTGAACTATTCCTCTCCCTGCAGTCATCCATTGCAAGTCACCAGTTTCTATGCTACCCTTGTGTCCCTCAAAATCTTCATGTGTCACTGCTCCCTGATGATAAGCAAAAACCAATATGTTAATTAGGGTGATTAATCATTCAATATATAACCTATAAATAAGCAATGTGGGTACCTGTAACATGTAGGTGACAGTTTCAAATCCTGTGAAAATAAAACAGAAATATTCAGTACTAATGCAAAATCCAAATTAGAATTGAAGATCACCCGAGCGCATGTTTGATAAACAATATCAAAATCGTCACAAATGGTTCGAGATTAAACCTCTGTGGGGATGATCAGGAAATCCAGCAGGAGCAGAAACTGCAGTTTGACAAGAACAATTAATTTACTTATAAGCAAGAAACTTTAATGTCAATCAAGAAAAAAAAACAAAAACAAAAAAAACAAAGATGCCCACCTGAGAATTCATCCAGAACTAGGAAGGGATCGAAATATTTCAGCTCGAATCTGAAAAAAGAATAGAAACCCACCACCAGAAATATAAATTCCTTTTCTCATTACAGTTTCATGTATATGTATTTAGTATTTATAGATTTTTACCTTCCAATACTCCTTCTGACAGTAGCTCCGAAACCTTCAGGTTGAGGCCTGGCCAGAAATTTTTTGACAACAGGACGAGACTCTTTGCTGCTAACACTGTACATTTGTGTTTCTGGCATTTTGTCCCCTTTTTCTTGTTCTTTACTAAGTAATTTGTTAAGTAAACTTCAAATTTTGATTGGGGACGAAATTTGGAAGTTTTTGTGTCTGCTTTATAGGGGTAGGGTAGGGTCGGGGGAGGAGTGGAAAAGTCGTTAGATTGAGGGTCAAACGGGGCAAAGAATGGTTGCCAGGTCCGCATGAGAGTTTCCTTGAGATTCAGGGATTTGTTTTGGTCACGTCAGCATAGCGTAATCATGATGCCATATCTTGGTATACGAATAAAGTTGAACTGTCAGAGGAAATTTAACATAGAAGCTGACAAATAAACACATAGTCGTGGGACCCGATTGCATAAAAAAACTTCAAAAAAAATTGAACCCTCCCCCTACTGTGAGTATTCTATCAGGGGTCAATCATCCATTTTCAGGCATTGTAGCAGATCTGTTGATACATATGGCATATGTACTCATATATGTTTGACAATCATTATAATAAGAAGGTTTATACTACTTGTACATAAAAATGATACATAAAAGATATCATCAAATAGTGTGTAGGAAAAAAATTGGATAAAAAAGTTGACTTTGCTTTAAATTGACAAATGATAAAGTGACATATGACATTATGTAACCCTTTATGTAAAACTTGATGTACATTTAGTAAAGTCCTTATAATAATAATAAATTTGGTAAAATATATTTTCAAATAGTAGTTTTTTGGGAGAATTTGTGGTTTAAAAAAATGAAATTTTTTTATTTACATTTAATATTATTTTATTAAAAATATGTTGTTGAAAAAAAAGAAGAAGAAAAAAATGTATTAAAATTTTAAATAAAATCAAACAAGGGTTTGAATTGAAGAAGAAAATACAAGTATACGTACATTTGTTAAAAAACAATAATGATAATAGTGTTACGAGCAATTGAATTTTATTCGGATAACAAATTAACAGTCTATCACACATTCTTTTAATTCTTTTACTCTTTTTTTTTTTATTGCAAAATTTGGAACTTTGTTGACATAGCTTAGTTTGAGCCTCATTTTTTCATCAAAATACATTTTTTAACAATGATTTAATATTATTTCAATCACACATTTTTAAGAAAATAATATTATACGTAAATTCAAAACTTTTTGACCACATATCCCATTATAACACTATTTGAAAATGAATTTTTTGACAAACAAAAAAATAAATAAAAATGGAAGTGGGGGTCTTCTTCTTGGTGAATCTTATTCTTCTTCATTTTTTCTTTTTCTATTTTTTTTTCAACTTCGAGAACAAAAGGATTGCATAAGAAAGACACTACTATCATTGGTGGAATTGCAGGCCTCTCATCCTTTATAGTAGGCTAAGTGGTTAACTTTAATTTGGTTCCGTAACAATCTCATGACACTCCAAAAATATTTAGATCGAAAGATTCAGCAATAAATTGAACATAATATGAAGTTATAGAGTTTTGATAACTCGTGTTTTTAAAACTAATTGTCTCTAAGCTTCTACATAATCTTATTTCAAACTGAGTTGAAAAGGCAAAAAAGATAAACGGTTGAACCAATCAGTATATGACAGTATTATTTATGTAAATAATTAAACAAAAATAAGTCGAGGCTAATAAGAAGAAAGTCAAAGATGAATGGTCCAATGAATGACAACCAAATCAAAGCTGTCACTATAATTCCTATGAAGGCAAACAATAAAACTAGAATTCAATTGTGTGTGAGATAGAGATCATTAGGGTGTCCGCTAATCCGCTTTCTGTCCGGCAGGGTCAAGCCCACATGGCTAATGGGTTCGATGACGTCGTTAGTACCAAAGCATGATGAAATAAAATTTTTGATAGGATAAGAGTTTAACGTTGTACGTAAGAATAAACTTGGAAAGTGTACTAAGGTTAGAAAACGTGTTGGACTGACTTTTGGACAAATTCATAAAGTAGATAAGATTTAGGATTTTCTGAAAGATAATGCAACAGTAATTCTTCTTAGTATCAACAAAAAATTATGCAATGCAAACGGGGTCAACAACACTTTGGTGGAAAAAAGAGTTAATATTTGTAAAATTAATTTCTATTGATGTTTATTATTTATCGATCAATCGATGCTGAACGGTTTAATATATGTAAAATATGCAGGTATAATAGATCATTATAAGACCTAATTCGTATAAATTTGTTTTAAACTATTAATTTACTAACATAACTATAACTTTATTAAATAGAAGCATTTTAAATTACAGCTTTTTAT